TGGATCCTGGGGCCGGTGTGCAGGGGGTTAGGGCCGGGGGCTGCTGCCGGAGGCTTATGGTCTGGCGGGAGCGGAGTAGGGAACCAAAACAGTTGACTTGAAGAGCGCGAGACGGGTCCCTGCGGGCTGGAGGCTGCCCAGGGAGGCTTTTAGGGGTGCGAAACCTGCTGGCGGGTGTAGAGCGCCAGGGCCGAATGGGAACGCAGCTCCCAAAGGAAGGTTTCTAGGGGTCAGGGACCCGCCTAGTTGGGTGAGGTGCTGGGTGTGGAGGGGAGCTCAAGGCCAGGGCGCAGAACCCGGGGGGGCGCCAGGCCTGGGGGCGGGGTTTGAGCCTCCCTAGGGAGCTGAGTGGTGGGGGGTGGGCTGGGGCAGGGCTCACGTGGGACCGGGGCGAGCTAGGCCTTGCCCGGAGGGGCGAGGGCGGCTGCCTGGCCTGGGGGTTGCCTGACTTTGGGTGCGAGGCCAGCCCTAGGCCCTGAAGATCTGGCTTGGGAGCCAGGCAGGACCGGGCAGGGCTGGAACTGGAGTAATGTGGGTGGGGGCGGCTGGGGATGAGGCTGAGTCCGGCCGGGGAAGCGGAGACCTGGAACTGGCGGGGGGGGGGGACTGGCTTGGAAGAGGAAGAACGAAGCTGGAAGGAACGCCGGGTCGGAGGGCTGGGGCGTCCGAGCGGTGAACTGAGTGACTCAGAGGTGAGCTCCCCTAATAGCGGAGCAGTTGGCGAGGGGCGCAGTGGAAAGGAGCGAGGTGCAGGTGGGGCTCTGCCGCGCCGAAATGACTGAGGATGAGGTCAGATACTGAGGGTGGAAATGCAGGAACCGAGCTCTCCAGCTTGTCCCCACAGGCGCGCGCGCTCTCCGTCTCTGAAATGCTTTGAATGTGTTGGGAAGTGGGGCAGGCGGCGTGGAGATCCGAGAAGAAAGGGGCTTCCTCCTGGAGGGAGGCACTGGCCCTGCGTCCTTTTTTGGGAGTGTTCAAAGGATTTTTTGATCGCTGGAAAAGGAATCGTAGCCTTTCCTGCATCACGGTTTAGAATCATCCTATATTTGGCCTTAATGTAGGCTGCCCTTGTTTTGCGGTGTCTGAAGTGCTTGTTCTACATGTTGCAAACGTGGGATCCGGCGTGAGAAGCAAATTGCACGTTGGCTGTCTCCCTAGGGATAGAAAGATTACAAAGGCTTTTGGTTCCTATAAGACATTGTTAAAGAATTGAATTTAGTGCGTGTTTAGAAACTGATAGTGGGTGACGACTATACTTTGTGAATAGTTGTCACCAAATTTTAGACCCTCCTACCAGATCTTTCCTGCCAGGGATTACATTCTAAAACAGTACTTATCGGGCTCTTAGTCACTCTATATAATAATGCATCTCATTGTCCTTATCTGGCAGAACTCTCCTGACACCAGGGCCTGCTGGAATAGACAGAAACATGATTAAGTATAAGCAGTTGCTTTGTACCGTCTGTTCGATTGTGAAGGCAAATAGATGTGTAATGTGCATTCACTTCCTGCATTCCTTGTAACGCTGAAGAAATGGACAATCTATTTTACTCTTAATTCTATACATTTCAGAAGCCTGTTTTAAGGAAACTAATATTTTTGTCATGGAGGTTTATTTTGTAGTCATGTTTAGCTGGGAAGCCTAATAGTAAACACTGGATCTGAGAGATTGCAGAAATAAAAAGGAAGGAAAAAAATGTGAAATAAAGCTGAGAATTGTGTTGTACCTTAGGCCTCCAAGCAGTGTTTTGTGGTAGTCATATGTATTGAGGATTGAACAAAGATTTGGAATAAAGGTCAGATACACACCTTTCTCACAAATCTGGAATGTGCCTTGTCTGTATTTGTTTTTTAATTACTTATGGAAGATTCATTAAAGCCTGATGAATTTTAGTAGACACATACCAATGAAATACCGCTGCATACGATAATGGATTTTTCCTATTCATTTGCTTCTTCGCCTGCAGATTGTGCTAATCAGCACTTATGTCTGTTCGTGTATAGTTTAAGATTTGATTCAGGGTTAGTGATAGCATTTTTTAAAACACTGTTGATTTCTTTTTTTTTTTTTTAATAAAAGTTTTATGTTTAATGCATCTGTCACTTCTGGGATCCCCTCCAAGAGGGACTTGGAATCACTATAATGCCTGTAAGATGGAATGTTCAGAAGGATGAATGATCAGTTCTTATTGTGTAAGTGGAATGTGGAAGATTTAGTTCTTTATGATGGCAAAATATTAATTTCTTAACATTTTGTCACAAACTGGCATTTTAGAGACGTATTGAGTAGGTTTACCTTTGATCTCTTTTTCAGGGGTGGAGCCGTAGTAAATTTGAGTGCTGCTTTCATAGTGAGAGTACAAATCCAGGTGATAAAACTTATTAAGCTTATTTCCCATTTGATAATTTCCCTGCACTACACTATTCTTGAGTTAGGACAACTCTTTTCTGACAGTTGTATGTCTTTTTAAACCCAAGATACCTTTTCTATATTAAAACATGGAATTCTTCATGAATATTTCAATATGACCTAGTACCTAGAATGTTAAGTAATAGAATCTCTCTGGGTTTTCATTGCCCTAGTTCAGCTCCTTTAAAGTGAGTGAACAAGATTCTGTACTCTTTTCTGAGCACACTTTGTATTTCAACAGTACATGATGGAATCTTTTTTTTTTTTTAATATAACAGTTTTGTTGCAATATAATTCACATACATACAGTTCATAAATTAACTTTTTAAAAAAGTCTATAAGTATATTCAGAGTTGTACAGTGATCACCATAATCAATTTTAGAATATTTCATCACGGGCCAGCCCTGTGGCCTGGTGATTAAGAAAGTTAAGAAAGCCATGTGTATCCCACATGGCTGATTCCTTGGTTGGAGTCCCCACACTGGTGGCTTAAAAAAATATTCTGGGGGGGACCAGCAGTTGGTGTAACGGTTATGTCACTGCAGTCCCATGTAGTCGACCACGGTTCGAGTCCTGTACTGGTGGCTTAAACTCATGCCAGGTGTGTGTATGTGCGCGTGCCCAAGATCCCAAGAGGAGAATGGAGGAGAAGGGATTGCGGGGTGGTCATTCCCCTGGGGGGTGATTTCTTGTTTTTTTGTCTCTCTGTCTGTCTCTGTATTTCCAGCAAGGGCATGTTCCCTATAGTGAAAACCTATCCCCCCCCCAAAAAAAAAAAACAAACCAAAACATTCTGGGTACATGTGCATGTGTGCCTCAAATCCCAAGAGGAATAATGGACAAGAAGGAATTGTGGTGTGACCATGCCCAGTGGGAGGGACTTTCTCCTGCTTCCTGTCTCTCTCTGGTGAGCACATGTGCCCTGTAGCAAAAAAATTTAAAAAAAGCATTCATCACCTTTCTCCCCTGAAAGAAATCCTAGACCCATTAGTAGTGCTCCTTATCATTCCCCTCCCTACCTAGCCCTAAGCAACCACTGATGTTTCTCTATAGTTTGCTTGTTTTGGACAATCATAGAAGTGGAATCATACCATACGTGGTCTTTTGTGTCAAGCTTGTTTTATTTAACATGCTTTCAAGGTTTTGTATGTTGTAATATATAGTACTTTATTTTTTATGGTTGAATAATATTCCATTATATTTTACCATATGTATTTTGTTTATCCATTCATCAGTTGATGGATGTTTGAGTAATTCCCCTTTTTGGCTATTGTGATAATGTTGCTATGAACATTCATGTACAAGTTTCTATGTGAACATATGCTTTCATTTCTCTTGAGAATATACCTAGGAGTGGAACTGCTGGATCATATGGTAACTGTGTTTGTTTGTTGGAGGAACTACTAGACTTTTCCAAGGCAGCTGCACCATTTTACAGTTTTACCAACTGTGTATGAAGGTTCCAGTTTCTTCATATTCTTTCTAGCATTTGTCATTTTCTGACTTTTTGATTCTAGCTATTGTGGTTTTGGCTTACATTTCCTGGCTAGTATGTCAAGCATCTTCTCATATGATTCGTGGACATTTGTAAAACTTTAGAGGAATGTCTGTTTAGATGCTTTGCCCATTTCTTACTGGGCTGTCTTTTTATTATTATGAGTTTTTAAAATATATTTCAGAAGCAAGTACCTTATCAGATATATGATTTGCAGAAATTTTCTCCCAGTCTGTTAGTTGTCTTTCACTTTTTTTGTGGTATACTTTAAAACAGAAACATTTTAAATGTTGATGTTCATTTTATGTACAGTGGAGTCTTACTAGTTAGATGTTATTTTGAACCTTAAATTACACCCTCATAAATATTTTGATTATATAAGTTAAAAGCCAGATGAGAAAGGGTCAGGGATTTGATTCACTTTAAGATGTGCTGGAGATCAGAAGGGGTTCGT